CCAAGAAGTCATCAGATCGAAGTATAATGTGTGAAAGCCACCTCCTACTGACAACGGACAACTTGGTAAATGGCCACAATGGGCAGATGAATGAGTTTCTTATGGACGATGAGACCATAAAAATACAGAACAACAAAGTTACTCACTGTGACAGGGCAACAATTGTTCGACGCCATTCCACAACCACAGGAGATGTTCCAAAACCCTCACAATTATTCTTAAATCATAGCCCTGACATTAACAACGTCACCAGTGTGTACAATCCAAACCCATCTTCAGCTTCAACCAGCATTAACACTACAAAATCTGGCAACTTACCCAAAAGCAGGGGTTCGAAAATTGTTATCAAAAGACAAGACAGCTTTCCAGGACCTGGTCACATATCTCAAAGAAACCACCGTATGTACAGCAGTGCAGATATTTTACAACTACATTCACCAACATCCAACCCTTCTTCTGCTCTCAGTAGCCACCAGATGATCAACTCCAGTGTCTCACCCCATCAAAGCACCCGCCTTCCTCAGCGTAGACACTCCTCAGTACTTCCACATTTAGCAGAATTTAATAAGCATTACAACCTCCTGAGAAATTTACCTGAAGGAGATGAACAGAAAATTTTATCAAGAAATGAAAAACAAAAGGAAACGTAAATTGTACTAGAATAAGTGCATGGCAAGGTAATGCTCACTTGGTTCAAATGATTGAAACTCCTTAACTGAGCAATAGGAGCTGAAATTTAACACCAGTGACTGAAGCGTGAAGTAGGAGCTTGACAGTCAGCTGCAGTGACGTGAGTATTGCACTGGCTGTTGTGGTGCCTCAGTGTTGTTGGAAAAGGGGGGATCTTGGCATCACTGCTTAGATTGTTACCTCTAGATAAGAGTTCAAATAAGTAGTAGAAAAAATGGAATTTAAAAGAACTGAGCCAGCCCAGTGGTGTATTTCCAGAAAAATAAGCTAGTCCTATAGAATCAGAATCAGAATACTTTATTAATCACTAAGGAAAGTATGTAAGAGATACAGGTCTTTGAATTTTATTTTATTTTTTGCATTACCATTTGCAAAATCACACAGACCATAATGCTTTACCATGATTTGGGGGAAAAAACAAAATGTTCTGTGCTAAAATTAGCATGGATATTTCCAAGAATCTAAATCAAGTTAGCTCACTCTCTTCTTCTTTTTTTTTTAAATTGTTATTGAATTATTGTATATATCATGATGTATTCATCCTGCTCATACATTAACCTTTTTGCTCTTTAATTAAAAATATTTCCAGGTTTTTGCATAAAATGTGCAAAAGGATATCTTTCTTTATATTTCTGTAATTGAAACTTTACATTTGATAAACTTGGACAGTGAGCTCAGTTTCAGTGGCTCATGTAAAAATGTTTGTCATCTATCATCTGTAATCCCAAATGATGTCATTTTTGTTTGGTGATGTTTTTGCACAAGGACATGCATTCATGTAAGTTATTATTAAAATGTAACTTTCCACCAACTTCGCCCAGCTGTGAAAGTAGTTTACAAATCTCTCAGCACAATGTCCCAACAAAGTCTTGTATTCTAATATGATTTTCTCAAATATGTTTATAACTCTTATTTATATGT